GCCTGAGGCTACCCAGCAGGAGCTCAGCTGTGAAGGAATGCAAGCTGCTGTGGGGCCTTGGACCAGCTGCAGTTGGTTAGGTAATTTTCAGATTGCAAAGGGCCAGGCTTTTCATATGCAAAAGCCGGTGCACAGCTTGGGTGGGGCGGGGTCCCAGGGGATCAACAGGGCGGAGCAAGCAGCCATGGCTACTCCTCAGTCCTGCCCTAAGAGGCCCCGCATCTCAGTGTCCCAGTAATCACTGCAAGCACCTCAGAGAGAAAGCCACCCTTGAGGTCCGACCGATGCCAGACAGTCTAGCCCAGCCGTGGGCAAACTACGGCCTGCGGGCCGGATCCGGCCCATTTGAAATGAATAAAACTAAAAAAAAAAAAAGACCGTACCCTTTTATGTAATGATGTTTACTTTGAATTTATATTAGTTCACACAAACACTCCATCCATGCTTTTGTTCCGGCCCTCCGGTCCAGTTTAAGAACCCATTGTGGCCCTTGAGTCAAAAAGTTTGCCCACCCCTGGTCTAGCCTCTCCCCGTATGAGTCTGGGTCCCCAGAGACTCGCCCGGAACTGGAGTTGAGACTCACTCCCGATTGAAAAAGACAACCGTGTCCTCAGCCGCCAGCCCTTTACGCATTCGCCTCCGTACCTCTGCACTTCACTTCCACACCGCACCTCCTCTGAGTCTCGGTATGCTTTTCTCTTTCCTTCTAGTTGTAGAATTTCCACTCAGCCAGCCTTTCTGTGGTTCTGGATGATGTCCGTTCCGTCTTTTAGTTGTATTTTTGAAGTGGTTGTGCGAGGCAGCAATTTCCGGTGTTTACCTATGCCGCCATCTTGGTTTCTCCACACTTGATGTTTCTTTTTCAGATTTACCCCATTGGAATTAATAATGCAAAAGTGTATATAAATTGTTTTGAAACACCCTGTACTTACAGATACGGACATATAAAGTCAAACAAAGACAATAGTTTAAATTTTATTTTGGCATATTTATGCATGTAATTTTAAAATGTTACCTAACCAGTGTCATGTATGCTAGTGTGTTAGATGTTACCATTATGCAAGTATTGGGGTGACCGTTTTGTATATAAATTGTGTGTTTTTATTAATGCTCACCTGAGAATATTTTTTCCATTGATTTCTAGGGAGGGAGAAGGGGAAGAGAGAGAGAAACATGGCCATGAAAGAGACAGACTAGTCACCTCCCACATGCACCCCCACAGGGACCCAGAACTTGAACTTAGATTTGTGCCCCTGACCATGAATCGAACCCACGAACCTTCTCTGTGGGCCAACACTAGCCACTGAGAAAAACTGGCCAAGGCTAAATTGTTTTTCTTGTAATTGCATAGAGCAAATTTCTAGAAATAGAGGCTGTCAACTAGCTGTTAAATTTCTACAGAGCACCAGTGCCTTTGTCACTATCCTACCAAATTGAGATTTTTAAAAATCTTACAAAATATGTGGGTTTAATTTAACTTTGTTTCTTTAATGTTTTTTATTGTAGAAAGTAATTTTTCTTTTAAATATTTTTAATTGATTTTTTACTTTTTATGTTTTTGATTTCAGAGAGGAAGGAAGAGGGAGAGAGAGATGATGAGAGAATCATTAATCCGCTGCCTTCTGCACGCACCCTACTGGGGATGGAGCTGGCAACCCCCAGCTTGTGCCCTGACCGGGAATTCAACCTTGACCTCCTGATTCAAGTGTCCAAGGTCAACTACTGAACCACACCTGCCCAGCGAAAGTAATTTTTCATTTCTGGCGTTGAGCTGGCTTTACTTGTTACCTAAAAGAGCAATACTTGTTACCTAATGGAACAGCAAAGAAGTTTGGAGTATGACTACAGGCTTTGTATTTCAACCCAATTGCCATTGATTACCCCAAAACAGGGCGCAACAACTTTTCCTTGGGAGGCGGGGCCTCGCTCCCCGGAAGCGCCGGCCGCCCCGCCCTCCTGCTTTGGTTTCCTGGTTGCTAGGCTACCGGCGCCCTAGCCGAAAGCGGTGGAGGGTGAGCGAGGTTAGCTCCTCTGCTCCGTGCACAGCTGGGCATCTGAACCTGCTGTGCCGTGGCCTCCCGCCTCGCCTAGGATTTTCAACCACCGTAGGTGCCGCGCCCTCCACTGAGCCTGGGACAGGCAGGCGCGCAGAGGCGGTTGCACCCTTCCCTCTGCGCTTCTCGGAAATCTCCCTTCCCCGCCACCACCACCCCTCGGGAAACTGCCCTTCACGCCTTTACCCGGACCAGGAAGCCCTGAACCCCTGAATTTCGGGCCTCTGACTTTTCTTTTCCATCCACCCCGAGACAACTTTTCTCGTTTTTTTCACATCTTGCGGCATCTCTCTGCTTGCGGAGAGGAAAGCATGGGGCCTGCAAGGGTAGGGGTGCCTCAGGAGGAGAAGGCTGGAAGACGTGTCGCCCTCCCTAATTTCTCAGGTACGCCTCCAGGCCTCATTATGGGAACCACCAGCCGGGTCCTTGTTTGAGCAGACACCGAGTTGGCAGGAAAGGAGCGATGTGACAGGGTTTCCTAAAATCGCGGGGGAGCTGCGGGGGCAAAGGGTGGGAATGATGACTATCGGCAGGTGTTTCAATTGCCCTGTTCTGGTTTTTTAGCTTCTGTGTAATCAGCTGCCCTTTTGGAAACCGGGCAAGGGTGTGGCTGGATGCCTATGTGAATGACTGGTCTTCAGTATGCCATACAGAAGCAACATGTTGCCAGCATTGGAAGCAGAGCTAAAGCAGAAGGTCGGTACACACCCCTCTCCAGGAACTCCACAGAAATCCAGTACTAAATCAGAATGTATCCGCTGGTGGCACCTTTTTCTAGCTGGAGATCTTGATCCCCAAGACAGAATGATTTGTGTAAATATCTCACTTGGTTTATTTACAGAAGTCAAGTATACTGCCCTCTGCAACAGTGTTTGCCTACCTTTTGTT